CGGAGAAGGGCATAGTCGATAGAGGATTGGACGGCTGCTAGGGTTAGGTTTACGATCCGGGTTGGGTTCTATTTTTTTGGGCTCCAGGTCGAATTCTAGTTAGTTTTTGGGTCGGGTTCTAGGTTGGGGCCTGTTTGGGTATTTATTTTGTAGAAGAGGCCCGTTTTTTATTTCGGACTTTGTAATATGTATTGGATGATTTTAAATAATAATAATATTTATAATATAATAATAATAATAATAATAATATAAGGGTATATTTGAAAAATGATGATTACAATAGATATTTATGGAAATAGTAGGATTTTCGTAAGAAGGTACTAACTTAAGAAGTTACATAAAAAATTTAAGGAGTACAAATTAAATAATCGATATAAAACATATAGAAACGGGCGTAGGTTTTTTATTTCATTTGAATCTCATTGAGTGATATACTTCAGCTAATTCTTGAACCAGCGGTAGTAAGGTCTTACTTTATGTTTGAACTATTGAGATAATTATATTTTTCATTTGCCACTTGGTTTTTTTATGTAGCTTAGCATTTAGGCATGGGTCCACAATCAACGTTGCCGTCCTAAAATTGTTGTGATTTGTCAATTCATCGCCCATTTATTAGTCCCAATAGGTTCAAAGAGTAGCTTCGGGATCCAAATGTCTACTAAGTTGGCCTACATTTTGAACCGCTGCCAATGTCGCAGCTTTGTGTAACCTATGCAGCCCTCCCTTCCTTCGAACTCAGCCAACCTATTTGCTCTTAGTCTAAATCTTGTATTTGATTTTTTTTAAAGACGATAATGCTTCCGTGATAAGTGATATCAAAGTGGTTATTTGATTGAATTTACGTTGAGCATCTTAATAGATGGGATAAGTAGGATGAATAACTATCACGGTGACATGTGATATGGATATCAGCAAATTGAGTGAGAGAAAATATTACGTCTTGAAAAGGTAAAAGACATTAGTCTCACATCAAAAAGAAAAAAGAGGTTTTTATAAGCGGTCATACATCCCATCAAATATATCACATGAAAAGAGAATAATACTCATGATAAGATGAGATCAATTTTTCTTTTTCTTTTTTTGCTCGGCAATAATAACACATAAATTAAGATTTTCGTTAAAATATTCCTAAACATAAATGAAAGAAAAGAGTACTCTTAATTAGGGAAAGCTACACCATCGAAATACACTTTCAAACCAAATACAACAAAATGTCACTGCAACCATACAAAACATATCCCAATAGATTACAGACAACACAACCCAAAGCTAAAAGCACCCCCTTGAGCTAAGCTACCACATCCACCATATAACTATCACCAGTCTTGCTTTTAACATAATATGTAAACCACCCACAGAACCGTTCCTCTCGGAATGATCACGAGCGCTATCACCTTGATAAAACCTGAATAAAACGAGCTTCCTCCGTAAAGCAACACCTCTCCACGTAAGAGCATAGCATCATTCCAACTTGCATTGTTCATCAACCAAGTAACTAAATATCATGCGACAACAGAATATAAACATCAGACTGGTCCTTTTAGTCCCACCAATGTCTCTATGAAGCAGTAATATATACCATTTTGGCCATTCCATCAATCCCTCTTACCATCAAAATCTAGCTCAAACATCTCTATCTTTTATCGGGTGCAATGTGCATGTTTGTCCATCTTGCCCCCTTTTTAGGAGGTCTCTCCATGCACGATTTTGCATCAAGTATCGCGTCCCGATAGACCCAGAATTAAAAAACTCCATATTGGACTCAAAATTCCCCTCGCCTTATAAAGGTCTTAATCTCATCATTCCTTATTACTCAACATAATGTGAGATCAGACAAAATGAGATAAAAATTTCAGCTAATAGTTTGTTATTTTAAGTGTTATAGTTGTATTTAAATTATTACACGTTAATAATTCTGGTCTTATGAATCTTTTGCGTGTGTGTTATAATCATAGTTGTATTTTTTTAATTAACCTGCCATTTTGCATTATATAAATATTAATTGTATAATGTTTTTGTTTATGTATGATTTTTTTTTCTCAATTGACTAAATTTCTGCATGAAATACAAAAGTTATTAATGGCTATCATTAAATCGATCATTTGTTAGCTTCCGAATTCATCAATTTAACGTCTAAATTTACGGCTAGAAATTAAATTCGGTCTACTTAGGTTCTCATACAATTTACAACTTTGTCCCAAAGAAAAATACTTATGCTCATTGTAATTAATGTTTGCGAGCTATTTCAACTAATATCTTTAAGAAAAAAAAATAATCAATTAGCTCTTGGTACCCAAAAAAAGGTACCCACATCTCTTAGGTCAAGCTATATTTGCACTTCCCTTGCTATTATGGCTTCTAGGTTTCTCTTTCAAAGGTCGAGCTGTTTTCATCAAGTGTTTCTATTTTTTTTTTTTTTGGTATTGGGTTTGTACTTATGTAATACAAATTTGGTAAATGATAAATATGCATTTTAAAGGATTTATATTTTTAAAGTCTTCATTAAGAATTGCAGTATGAATTTAAATAATAAAATAAATGGGTTTGAAGTACTTTATAGAACAAACTTTTCTTGTCTAATAATAATTTAATTTCTGAATATGTGTTAAATTAATTTAAAAAATTAAATTAAATATTCATTAGATTTATGTTAACTTTGAAGTTAGACAATTAAATTTCTCTTACTATCTACTCGTGATTCTATCTCGGGAAGTATTTAAAAAAATAATATATTCATAAGTAATCAGTGATGGAAGCATGTTGTATTTAAAGAATAATTGTACACTCTAAAATCTAATTTTTTTTCATTAATTATTTATTTTATTAGTTACACCAATCCTGAAATTTTATTTGTGACCATTCACATACAAAAATTTATGTTATTATATATATATATATATATATACACACTCATATTTAAAATATTTTTGAATCGCCCGTCCTAAACAACATAAAGATACAAATATTTTGCATGTCCTCTTATACGACAGAAACAAGTAAAAATATATAATTTCTAATCGGTCTCCTAACCATGAACACATCTACTCCAACCCTGAACAGTTAGAGATCTTTGTCTATTGGGTCTGAATTGATTCTGCTTATTTCGGCGGAGTGTAATAAGTGAATTAAACCCAATAGAGGATGAATATTTGGGCATAAAAAATGTAAAAATATCAGTATTTGAATGGGTTTTATAAAGGTTTGTGTCAGTAAAAGAGAAGAGGATGAAGGAAATCACCAGTCTGAGACTGAGATGTTTGCAGAAGTTTGATGACGAAATGAGGAAAACGGAAGCAAGCAATGTTGATAGATAGGGTGGAGGATGATAAAAGCTTGGGGTGGGAAGCTGCAATGCTTTAATTGGATGTACCCTCTGAAGTTAAAAACCTTTTTGAGCCAATTCCCTATTAGCTTCCTACCATCTTTCCTGTTTATGCAAGAAAAGCCTCACTTTACTTTGAGGTTAAAATCTTAACTTTCACTTCCAATAACATGTAAGGGTGTACATTCGATCTAGTGGAGTAAATCAACTTCGAGTTATTTAAGTTGACGGGTCGTATTTTACAATTCGAATTTAACCGAAAATTTTTTCAAGTCCATTTATTTCAAGAAAAAATTATTTACAGTATTATGGCAAGAATTTGTTCTAATTTTTTACTTTCTTTAACTAAACGATATATATATTCTTTTCACATTATAATGATATTTAATATATCAAATACAATCAAAAATTATAAAATATATTCATATTATTATATTTTAAAAAAAGTATTTTGAGAGTAAAATATTGAAGAGAGTATAAATGAGTCAAGGAATTGATGAGACGAAAGAATCTGCAAGTAATTGTAGTCAAAAGACTAAATTGAGTAAAATGCAAAGTTAAGGGACTAAAAAAGAGTACATTTTTAGTTAAAAAAAGTAAGAATTTAAACACTAAAAGTATAAATTTTTGTGAGAAAAGAAGCAGAGGATGTGCCAAAATGAAACTAAATATATTTATGCCGAATCTAATTATTAACAACCTAGAATTTCAATTCTGTGCGTGCATTGGCGCACATCTTTATTGTATATATTTCCAAATTCAATTCCAATCTGTTTGCTTGCAAAAGCCATAAATTCACAATGTTGATGAGAATTGAGTTCGCCTTTAATGTCGAAAACTCTTCAAGAATGTGCCTTTGATTCACATGTGTAATCCAAAACCTAAAAGAAAGTGTTTCTAAATGGCTTTATCCAACAGATGAACAAAGAAAACCCGGAAATTTCTCCTTTTCACTCAAGTCCAATGCTTCATTTCATTGGAAGAGCAAATAATGAGTTTCCAGGAAAGTTCAAAGAGACACAGGCATGGCAGTTTGGGAGAAGATAAAACTGTACAAGTCCATTAGGAGGAACTGCAAGTTTCTTGCCATTTAAACAAGCGAAAAGGACTGAACGTGTAAAGCACCAATCCACATGCTTTGTTTTGTACTACATAATTTATTTTTTATAACCAAATCTTCTCTTGTTTTTTCCTCTCTCTGTTTACGGTTGTCGTTTTGAGCATGAGGTGTTGTTGTCATCTTTTTAGGATAAAAGTAAAATATATATTTACTTCACATAGTAATTAATGGAGAAAAAGAAAGGAAGAGAGGCAGTAACTTCTGCCTTGTGTGTCATCTCTTTCGGTATTGTGGACGGCATAATGCCAGTTTTGATGGAGGCAGGTTTAAGGGACCAGATGGCGACCTATCCTATGATTGTATGTTTCCATTTTTCTCTTTTTATCTCCATTTTTATTTTACTTCTTCTAAGTAGCCGACAACAGTCCAGCTATTCCCCGCCTTTAAATTCACACATTAACCTCATTGTTTGCATGGACCCCAAAAGTCAAGTAAACCCCAACCTTCTTTCGTCTTCTTCCCGCAGTTCACTTTGTTGCACCCCAAAAGACAGTTTTTTTACAAACACCCTCAGCTAACTCTCATTTTCCACGCTTCTTTGGGTCTCCTCAGGGAACAACTACCGAAGAGGAAAGGAGACAAAGCAAAAGTGCAGAGAAATGGACTGGAATAGCACCTTTCGACCCTTTCTTTCTCGATCCGAACCTTCTATAAACTTCCTCTATAACTACAATTACGATCAGTATCCAAGTAATATCTCTTTATCTGGACAAACAAACAAGTATTGAGTTCAATATTCTATATCTTTAATTTGTTGATCATCGTCTCTTTTTTGTAAGGTATAGAGATGAAGCATCAAGGATTTGTTGTAGAGGTGGGGAATGGACTGGTTCCAGGTTTGAAGAACAGCTTTAGCATTGGCTGCAATCAAGATAAGAAGAAGCGTTTAACGAGTGATCAGTTGGCTTCGTTGGAGAGGAGTTTCCAAGAAGAGATTAAGTTGGATCCAGACAGGAAAATAAAGCTTTCCAGGGAACTTGGACTTCAACCCAGGCAAATTGCTGTCTGGTTCCAAAACAGGCGTGCTAGATGGAAATCTAAGCAGCTCGAGCGACTATATGATACGCTTAAACAAGAGTACGATGCTGTCTACAGTGAGAAACAGAAGCTTGAAGATGAGGTTAGCATACTATATATCTTTTTATAAGGATATTAGGTGCACAGTTTTTACAAACGAATATATACATTTGTTTTCTCTATTCTGAGGCCTAACCCTACTTGTGAATTTTGAATCCTTTATGCAGGTGATGAAACTGAAAGGTATGCTGAGGGAACAAGCGACGAGAAACCAAGTGTCCACTGTGTACACGGTAATCTCCGGCGAAGAAACGGTGGAAAGCACCTCAATCCGGAGCTCAAACAAGCCGAGGATGGCCGGAAACCAACAGTATCCCATCGCCGAATGCAGCTACGTTTTCAATATGAAGGAGTATAACTCAGTTTCATCTCCCTACTGGGGTGTTCAACTTCCTTCTTATCCCTAATAAACTTCGTAATCTTCGAGTTTGCTTAGATATTCAGCTTAGGTCTTTTAGTTTGTAGTCAGATTCAGAAAGATGTAGTGATGTTCTGGTTCAAAAAAAAAAGCAAGTATACTCAATCCTATGGTCTCAAGAGAAATATTGGATAATAGATCCATGTTTATGTATACAAACATTGATTTTGATGCATATTTTTAGATTTCATTTTCATGATTATAATCTTTAACACATTCAAGTAACATGCTCTCTAAATTGAGTTCGTCTTTAATGTCGAAAACTCTTCATAAATGTCCCTTTGATTCGCATGTGTAATCCAAAACCCAAAAGAAAAACGTTTCTAAATGGTTTTATCCAACAGATAAAAAAGAAAACCCAGAAAATTCTCCTTTTCAATCAAGTTCAATGCTTCATTTCATTGGAAGAGCAAATAATGAGTAACCAGGAAAGTTCAAAGAGACACAGGCATGGCAGTTTGGGAGAAGATAAAGCTGTACAAGTCTATAAGGAGGAACTGCAAGTTTCTTGCCATTTAAACAAGCACAAAGGACTGAACGTGTAAAGCACCAATCCACATGTTTTGTTTTGTACTACATAATTTATTTTTTATAACCAAATCTTCTTTTTTTTCCTCTCTGTTTTGGGTTGTCGTTTTGAGCATGAGGTGTTGTTGTCATCTTGTTAGGATAAAAGTAAAATATATATTTACTTTACATAGTAATTTATGGAGAAGAAAGAAAGAGAGGCAGTAACTTCTGCCTTGTGTGTCATCTCTTTCAGTATTGTGGACTCAATATATAGTTATAATATATATCAGTTATCGGTTCTTACCGTTAGCTTCCTTCTTCACGTTTGCTGTTATGGAAAAAAGATACCCTCTGTGCAATCGTCATGAACTGATGATAACTATACCAATTCAACCAAATTCATCCGTACATAAGTAGTAGAATGGCAGATTTCTAGAATCATTTCTCAATATTAATAATATCGGTAAAGTATACAAATGATCCCTGATAATATGGTGTTACTTTGTTGAGTCTTTCGACTATTAAAAGTTACAAAGTGATCCTCTGATTATAGGACGTTTCTTTGTCGAGTCACATGGCTATTCATATGTTAAAAACTCGTCATTTTCCATTAAAAAATTGACGATAGTCTAAGTTGAACATTAACTTACTAACTAGGATATGATAAAATTTGATCCTAGAATTTCAAACGATTTTAATATCCCATGTCGGTATGTTAACATCCAGTTCAGACGACCGTCAATTTTTTAAAGAAAAAAGACAAGCTTGAAACATATGAATAGTCATGTGATTATTTTATAATTTTTAATAGTTGAGAGACTCAACAAATCAACGTCATATAGTTAGAAGATCGTTTTACAACTTTTTATAATTGAGAGACTAAACAAAATAATATCTTATAATTGGAGGACCATTTGTGTACTTTACCCTAATAATATTTGTATAGAAACGTAAGTTTCCTTGTTTTAAAAGGTTGTATAGGGGGTGAAAACAATAGGATGGGGCTCAATTTATTTGGTTTAAGACACGTGTACTGATTTTATGCCGCCACCTCCTCTATCTCGAGGTCGCTTCCTATGGTGCAATTTGGCCTCACCTATGTCTCATTTCTTCACTTTTTCAGTATTTTCGTCTTCTATTTTTCTAATGGGATAATGTGATGAGATTGATATTTTATGGTTTTCTAGTTATAGTCATAATCAAAATAATAATTTGTTATCGGTAAGGATAATAATATTATCTTGAAATTGTAATTGTACAATCACTATGATTGCAATAATAATAATAATAATAATAATAATAATAATAATAATAATAATAATAATAATAATATCTATTATGTTTATAATCGTGATAAATATAATACGATTAAATTTCAATTACAATCTGTCATAATATTTATTAGGGTAAAGTATAGTAATGATCATTGAACTTTTTTAAACCTTGCATTTAGGTCTCTCAACTTTTAAAACTTACAATTCAGTCCTCTAACATTTAGTATGTTTGCAATATGGTCCCCGACATAACAAGCCATTTGAAACCGTTACACTACCGTTAGTACGTTTGCAATATGGTCACTGAACTTTTCAGGAGCTTGCATTTTGGTCCCAAACTTTTAAAACTTGCAACACAATCCTCAATTTCATTCTAAATCCCAAATTCTAAAATAATTCAATTGTATTTTAAACCTTAAATTCTAAAATACTTTAATTTAGGGTTTAAAATGTAATTAAAGTATTTTGGAATTTGGGGTTTAGAATGTAAATGAAGTGTTTTGGAATTTTGAACATGAATTTGATATTTGATAGTGTTTACTTTAATATAAATTTGAGGTTTGTTACATGCACATCCAACGGCTATCGCACTTTGAATATGAAAAGTTCACCTATCACGTTTATTGCATAAACCGTTGAAGTAAAAGTAACAAGGCCAATTTGTCTTGTTCGTAGCTGCCGCACTTTGGTAAGACAATCCAATAGGTTTAGATGGAACTTGAGAATGCACATCCAACGGCTGTGAAAATAGTAAAGAGTTTTAATTCATAGGTGATAACCGTCATTTTGTTATCAAAATAATTTCGCTTCTTAAATAGAAAGGAAAATGTTGTATAGAGAAGCAGGGTCGATCCATAGGGACTATGGTTTCTGTCTTGATTTTAGGAAGAGATAGAGTTTCAAGTAAAGTTGAAAAGATTTAATAAAATAAAATAGATAATAATAAATAAAAAGGAAATAATAAAATAATAAATATTAATAGTAATAAAGATAAAAGGGGTTTTAAATTATTTAAAAAATAAAAATTAAATAAACAAATAAATAAAATAACTGAATTGGGATAAAGAAAACTTATTGTGAAAGCAGCCTCAGACTTCAGCTTCGCCTCAAATTCCTCGGATCATCGAAACATATTTTAACTTCAAGATTCATGTCGGATTACAAGGACAATTCTTTGTTGCCAACTCGGATTGTGTCGTTTCAACAACAACTGATTCTGATCTCAGTTTCCTCTTAGCAAACAATTTTGCCAAGTGTGTTCTCGGGAAGTTGAATATACTTTAATAAGCAAATCCTTCTTCAAACATTAACCATAACAATATCCGGACCAATGTCAAAATCATTTTGATTTGAAAAGTAAGCTCAAAAAACAAAGAGAAAAATTTGAAGCGATTTAAGTACCTTACAATTCTCATGTTTGGAATTGAGCCTTCGCTTCAGTCTTCGACTTAAGAGAAAATTAGCTAAGCATGACCAAAGTCATACTCAGTATAATTGAAAAGTATGCAAAAAATAGAGAGAAAGCTAGAGAGAAAAAGAAGGTTTTATTCTCAGATGAGAGAGATATGTTTCTAGGCTTACCCTTAGAGGGTATTTATAGCCTTCAAATTCCTAAAAAAAAAAGCTAAAACATCTTAAATCCTAATTAAAACTATTTAAACTAAAATACCTAAAACAAATATAAAATATAAAAATAATATCCTAAAACTTAATTAAAATAATAAAACCTATTTAAACTAAAATATCTAAAACAAAGATAAAATATAAAAATAATATCCTAAAACTTAATTAAAATACTAAAATATATTTAAACTAAAATACCTAAAACAAAAATAAAATATAATATTTAAAATATTATCCTAAAACTTGAGTTTAATTCAAATCTGAATTCTAGAAATGTGCGGCCAATTCATTTGTGCTTCTAGAAACGCTGACTGGATCTTCTAGAAGTGTTGACGTCATCACCTCGTCGGATGTTTCATATCCGAATTCATGCCCACAAATCCAGCTTTGATTCCAAAAATAAAAAAACTGCATAATTCTGTCCTTTTAGTGCAATTTCAGGAATCTAACGTCCTGCACAGAAAATGAATGAAAAATAATAATTAAGCCACAAAAACCAATGATTAAGGAGTAATTTAAAAGCAAAATATTAACTAAATTAGGCACTTATCAAATTTCCCCTCACTTATTCAATGCTTGTCTTCAAGCATTCATCTATTAACATATCAAAATCATAAGTTGTCATCTTCAATTTCAATTTATTCCTCAAACTTCCAATCAAACTAAGTCCATGATATTTGTCGAATTCAAGTTACAATCAACTAAAGATACAACCAAGAAAATTTAAAATAAGCAAGATATCTCAATTAAATGTCAACTTTAATGAAACATGACTCAATACCTCACAAAGATTCACACATATCCGCTCAAAGTGTTTGGGGTAAATGAAATCGCTCAAACCGAAAGTAACCAAAATATTACCATAGGCTTGGAATCCAATCAAGTCTCCACTACGAAAAATGAACATAATGCAATAATCAAGGGGTCTTAAAAAAGGAGTAACGGAGCTTAGGTTAGGGTATGGAAAAGGCCAAAAAGAAAGGTTTAAAATACCGAAACAAAAGATCAAAATAATTAAGAACAATCCACGAATTCACATGAAGCACAATGAAGAACAAAACAAGGAAAAAAGAATAGATGAAATACAATTGAAACGATCAATTTTTTCTTCCTTTTTTTTGAACAAGGGTCTTTTTTTCTTTTCTTTTTGCTGTTCGAAACAGTGAGCAACTTACTTTTTTTTCTTTGATTTTTTTCGAAACAGTGATTTTTTTCGTGGAACAAGAGTGATACAAGATCTCAAGTCTTGGTAAGGGTGTGAAAAGAGCGGAAAAATAAAAAGAAAGGCTTCGTGTTTATTTATGAGGTGTAAAACAAAGAAAGGGAAATATGCTCAAATTTGGTTCACTAGTGGATATATAAACGTGTAGGCCTTTTGGGAAAAGTGGGTTTATCCTAGGTGCCCCTATCACATTAAAACATTACATTCAACATGTAGTCTCGATATGCATTGTGATTACAAGTTCTAGAATATCCTAATTAGTTCAGCACACACAAGTCAAACAATGAGCAAGAAAGAAAATGTATGCTCGTTAGGCCCAAATCTCACAAGAAAAGTTTATGTGCATTGAGTCAAGTTCATCTCTATCGACAAAAGCATGAAATATCAATACTCAACAAAAAGTTAACTAGCTATATCAATTACCAATCATGCAAATTAAATTCGATCAAAAACATGATCACAATCCAAAAGGAAGC